GGGCGAGCTTGCCCATTAAAAAAAAAAAACCAAAAAACTCGAGCAGGCTATGGCCCGAATTTTTTTGGCAAGGCTTTGCCCAAAATAGCTCAGCTAGCTCAGGCCCAAAAAAACTCGAGCCAAGCCTGAGCTTTTTTTTTCGGCTCGACTCATTGATATAGCTAGCCCTAATGGCACCTTACCATCTATTTACCCTTCATTGCCACCAAAGTAGGAGGACCCACCCATTACCATCGATGAAAACATCTCCCCAACACTCCCTCACCTTTGATTAGAACCCCAGCACCTCATGTAGGCCCTACGTCCCAAAATTAGTAAGGAGAATCGCACCAAACGGAACCCAAATGTCACAAAATCCTCCTCTATCATTGAGATCTACCACGCAAGAACACCACACATGCCATAGACCACCTCATCCGTACCCATCAACACCTTGGATCCCTTCCAATTCAACCCTAATGACAAACTGAAACCACATATGCCTCGGGTTGCATTCAACCCTTTGTGCACACAAATTGAGGCCATCGATTTGGACACTTCTGATGGAATCAGTACGTGGGACCACTTCCAATGACTTCAGAACATCCAAGAATATCTCTGCAGCGTCCAATTTGGCTAACAAGTTGACATTGGATTCCATGTCGGTCGTAGTGGTAGAGAGCATATACATTAGAAGCAATGTTTGCAGCGATGCCGACGATGATAGTAAATGTTGACGTCGAAGGATGATTATTCTGGATGCGATAGTGGTACTAGATTGGAGGTGATGGTGGATTAAGTGGTGGAAATGGGGTTAGGATTAGGGATTCTATAGTAGGTGGAAGGGTGTGATGTGGTGAGGAGCACTTGGTTTTTGAAAGAAAAGTTTTAACACCTAATTATTGAATTGGAAATTAAAAGGCAGATGCAATTTCCCCTATTTAAAATATATTATTATAGATGCAAAATAGGCTAGTCATGCGAGGAATTAAATAGGGAAAAATACATAATTACTATACGTATGATGTAATTAAATAGGGAAAAATACTCAATTATTTCTCTTTTTAGTATGCTGTAATTCACATATGTTATGGACTATATTTAGAAATTGTGTTGTGAAGCCTATAGTCTTGTAAAGCTTCATTTTCATAATTCACACTAAAAGTAATTCTTGTCTTGTAAAGATGAATGGAAATTTGCCCATTGACGTGACTGCAAAAACAAGCAAAATTTTCTCATTTTAGACATGAATCATTGTAGGTGGATTTTAATAATGATACGCTGACACTATTACATGTTCTTTTCATTTTCCAAAACTACATAGTAACAACCATATGTCTAGAGATTTGATTAAACGACAATTTCTTTTGCAAAATTGTTGAGAATGAAATATTTAAACAAGACTGGAGTTCTAGGAAAAGGATTCACATTTTTTCGGTATCTTTTTCTCAAATGGACACTTGCCATTCTCATTGGATTAAGCACTGGTCTTCTTGACTAGCATATCAGAATCGATTTTCCAAATGAGAAATCATATGTCCACTGGAATTACTTTATTCTCTATTTTTATTCTCCTTCTAAAGTTCTCACAACAACTGTAGCACATTTGATTGGAGTGTTATTGAGATGCTGGAAGTGTTTTGCATCATGTTTTCTGTCTTATGTTGATTTTTAATTGGTCCTATTTGTCAATTTCCCAACAACTTTTGTTATTTGTCTTCAACTTCCTTTAAATTAATAGTTTGGGATTCTAGTATGGACTATTATTATTTTGTATTATATCATAAACTAAATTTCCATCCTGTAACTTTCAAGTTACACACCACTGTACAATATTAACAAAAGTAGTATTAATTTTTGTTCGACAATGCTAAAAGTATTAGTCAATAGGTTCCGCAAAGAGTATTTTATGGCGAAACTTTGAGCTTCAGGTGACAGAGTTTGTGATCCAAAACTAAGTCTATTCTAGGATAAACAAGATTAAAAACAGAGGTTGATATAAACTAGGTTTGANNAGAGGTTGATATAAACTAGGTTTGAGTAGTTTTGACTAAAAGCATGTTTAGGATGACTTATCTTAGCTCCAAATGTGTGGAGTACATTCAAAATAAGCCCCAATCTTGGAGCTTATCTTTAAGATAATCCCCCCAAACCTGCTCTAACTAGGGTTTTGATAGTTTGATTAGTGATATTTTAGAAGTTTCCTTAGATTTTGTCTTTGTTATGTACCGCTGAATATAATATTGAAATGTTCCAAGTCGAATATAGGCCTACTTCTGATACGACTTGTATTGAAGAATGTGTTGGTACTATATTTATGCTGCTAATGAAGATCATAGAAAATGAAGAACACAATGCGGTGCGTATGGCTCATTTTTCTGCTAGTGACTTGTTACCACTAATAAATGACAAAACTACATAAAATCGTTAGACGTTTCAACAAACAATATTATTAATAGCAAATAAATAAATCAGTAACTGTTTTTAATATAAACAAATAGACTAAAACAAACCTAACATCGAAAACGAGTGTTGACGTTGATATGGTTTGATATAAGAATTTAAGGTGCTGATGTTTGGCTCTTCCGAGCATACTACCTAATCATAATATTAAAGCAAACAATTAAAAACAAATAAATAGTAAAAATAATACGGTCAAAAATTGGAGTGATCAAAACAAAGTTAAGTGACTAAATTGCTAGCCCAAGTCCAAGTGGAAAACCACGTCAGCATATATTTGTTTAACGTTCATGACTGCAAGTTTTGTTGCGTTTTTTAACTTTGTACTAACATAGTGGTTTAATTAACCACAATAATATACATCAACCCTCTAAAAAATAAAACTACTCCAGCCCTCTCAACAACAACAACAACAATAATAATAATAATAATAATAAGCATCGGTAAAAAAAAGGACATAACATGCAAAATTTCATTTGGAAAATCTAGAATTGCATATCTAGCCTTTGTTTGATACCCATTTTTTTAAAAATACATTTCTCTCACTTTTCTTTTCAACCACGCATTTTTCAATAGAATAATATTACACGCGAACCCAAAAAAATTTCTTATTTTTTAACCACATATTTTTCATCAATCTATTATTTCAAAATACATTCTTACTATAAAAATGGGAAACAAACATACTCCTAATAGGAAAAAAGGTTCGCAAATTAAGGACATGTCACTACGCCAAAAATGAGCTTTCGCAACACATAAAAGGCAACATTCGATAGTTAAGTATTGCTAAAGGAGTCTATCGCAACATTTTGATAAGTGAATGTTGCAATTGGTTAGTATAATTGAGTTTTAACAACATTTTTTTATATAAATGTTGCAAAAAAGTACCTTTCGCAGCGTTTATTGGACGTTGCTAAAAGATCAACTTTTTTCAACGTTTATTAAATGCTACAAAATGGTTAACTTTTTGCAGCGTTTATTAAACGTTGCAAAAAGTTGTTTTCGCAACGTTTATTAGACGTTGCAAAAAATTGACCATTTTGCAGCGTTTTTAAATGTTGCGGAAGACCAAGCTTTTCGCATCATTTAAAAAACGTTGCGAAAGACGATTTTCGTAACTTTTTTTATATTTTTCTGATGATTTCACAACGTCTATTTTTTAAAACGTTGCAAAAACTCCCTCCATCCCTTTAAATCAAGCCCTAGCTTTTCCTTATCTCGCTTGGCCTCTCCTCTCTTCTCTTCTTCCTCAACTCTACCTTTCTCCTGAGACGAAAATGGCATCTTCATCCGACCAAAGTCCCCTCTTACCGAGTATGAAGCTCCTCCCCTCCGCTCTCATAGCCAACATCATGACCAAGCTCGACATCCGCTCCATCCAGTCACTCGCATCCACATGTAAGACCTTCCGCTCCTGCGCTGCCCACATCATGTCTCTCGTCCCCACCTTCCACCTTTTTGTAAGATATAATCATATATTTGGTATGAGTTTTTTTCCTTTTACCCTAGTTTTCGCTTTATATGTTTCAATTCTGGTTTTATTTACAGGATAGAGCG